CCCCCCCCCCCCAATCCACTCTGCCGTGCTCTGCTCCCACCTGAAAGCACGTGGGGTGCGGTCAGCCGCCGTCGTTTGCTGCATGCACCTCGAGGCCGGCAGCCGCTGCGCGAATTTTCCGTCTGCGGTTTTTATTTTGCAGCTGGACCCAGGCAGCAGCAGCCTTACAACTGGACCAGCCCCTGCCCCTGTCCCTGTCCACCCGCTGCTTTAGCTCGCTGCCCACAGCTTTAACTTCCAGGTCCAGGTCCAGCTCCACGCTTCAGGTCTGGCAACATTTTTGTGCATTGGCCAGCCTCAAAACAGAAAAGTGGCCGAAAAAGGGGCGTAGAGCCTATGCAAATGCATAGGATATGCTTTCCAAAAGCCAAGACCAAGCCCACTTGGGCTCCACTCTCTAGTGAAAGTTTCCAAATGAATAAGTCAGGCTGTGGCCTCCTGGGATGTGACTAATTTGGTTAATGCCAAAAAGGAGTACTCGTTACGCCCCAAGTTCAGTGAGCAATTTAAATTTCAAAACTAAACTAAGGGAAAGGAAAAATCAAAACTCCTTTTTGGTAGTTCATTAGACAGAACACACACAAAATCATAGAACTAACAGCAGCAGACACGCCCGGGGCAGATTCAATTCAAGAAGCTCCAAAACTAAACCACAAGAACCGAGCCCCCGTGGGGGGCGTGTCACATTTTGCGTAATCTTTCTCAGCTACGAGAGCTGAGCCCAAGCCTACAACAACAAAAAAGGTTCTTAATTATAGGCTGCGGAGGGGCAACGCTGTCTGCACCTGTGCTGTGCAGCCTTGGGGCATGCCCCGCACAAGAGTGTTAAAAACAAGAGAGAAAATGGGGAATAAACAAGGCAAATGAATCAATTATTTGCGTGATTTGTTGTGCAGCAAACGCACTCGTATTCATTCAAAGACATTCAATTAATGTGATGGAAAAGTGATTAAGTAGTCAGAGAAAATGTGAATGTAGTCAGGGCTACAAAAAACAAACAGAGAGATTGTTCCACATTAAATAGGAAGTTCCACTATGCGGGAAAGTCAACAATTGAAATTTCAATTTAATGCGAAATTGAATTCAATTGAAGAGCATTGAGTGGGTGGAAGGGAGAGCGCAACAGTAGAAGAATGAGAGCACGAGAAGAGGTTCCGGCACGGGCTGTTACTATATGATATATCAAGTAACTGGCGACAGTGCGAGACATAACTTGATGGCATAATAAAAGGGAATTTTCAACAACAAAACTTGGAGCAAAACCCCAACAGATCCGCTGCTAAGCTCTTTTGTTTGTTCAAACTTATTCCAATGAAACGCACTGTATGTGCGGCACACTTTTGCCAGCGACTATGTCCATTAACTGAGCTTTAATTGGCAACTGAGCAGCAACTAGTCGAGGAGAAGGCAAATCAAAGCAGCCACCGGACCGGCTCAAAAATCTTGAACAATGGCAGAGGAACGGCAGCCAGCGTCAGGCTGCAGCTCTGGCTGTCATATGCGCGTTTCAGTTTCCTTATTTATGAGCAGATGACATGGTCCGTTCCTACCATGTCTAGTGATTCATCACGAGGGCCTTGACTGGGAACCGCTCTGACTGTCTCTCTGACTGTCTGTCAACATGCCAGGCGACGCTTTTGCGCAGATTTGGCGGCGACTACTGGCTACGTGCTGAAACTTGTGGCAGCCACATTAAAGCGAACAAAAACTAAACAGAGAAGAAGTACACAGAAGGGTTAATGAGACTCCACAGTGTGACGCATGGGGCAAAGCAAACCAGCGGTCAAGCGCAACATTTTACGATCGAGTTTTCCACAGAGCTCATAAAATTCTTCTGTTTTCCACAGAACTTAGCGACACAGTTAGAGCTCTGTGAATCAATCAAACAATAAGTCAGGCAGCCATGGGATACACTTCATTAAAAATAAATAGTAAATGGTAAATCAAGACAAGCAAATCGAGACACAGACTCAGCCACCCACAGGAAACACTCGACTACCCTCTCTTCAAGAAACACTCCACGGACAGCTGTCAGTCGGTGTTCCCCGATCTATCTACAAATCCAGCGACTGCCTGACATTTGACATGCGTTTGTGCGGTGGCTGCTCCGTGGCTGTGACTGTGGAGACCCCAAGAGCCACAGCAGCAGCCACAAACAGACTCTCAAGGGGGCATGCAAATCCGCCACAGACGGTAGCCCGAAAAAGTCAGTGCAGGGGTTCCCGGGTCTTAGCTGGAAAAATTCAAATGCAAAGCGATTTTCCGCAGCGTTTGGGCATTCAATCAAAGTCCAGCGTACAACGTTTGGGCCTTGCCAGTTTTGGCCAAAACTGTTTACAGTAATTTATGCTCATTTGTAAGCATGAAAAATTTGAATCATTCATCAAAGACTCGGCACGAATGGACAGACTGGCAGGAGGGAGCGGCATGGCAGAGATCGGGTTTGATCTGTGGGGTCGGAGCTGGGGAAAGAGCTACAAAGGGGAAAGAAAACAACCCCTAAAACAACCTCTAACTAAAGCCAGATCGACAAGTGTTAATCTCTCTTTCGCAGATGATCAGTTCTTGGGTTCATTTGAAACCAATCAATGGAGGGTAAACCTTAAGAATTCTTCTGTTTATTTCTTAGAAAAGAGCTTGTCTCTTAGGAGCTGCTGCTCCCTCTCTATACATCAGTGGCATACCTTCTCCTTGTGCGTTTTGCCTTGGACTATCACTTGGGCCTCACTTTGATGACAGATCCACATGGATCTGGTTTGTTGCCCGCTGGCCTTTTATGGGGCGCTGGCTACGTGAAACGACAACGAAACATTAATCAACAGCAGCAGCAACAACCACAACAACAGCAACAGCAATTACAACAAATTGTTTCAAATGCGGCAGGCGCACAGCCACAGCCAATCAAATGCGAACGCAACATTCAAGTTGTTGCTGCCTGTTGTTGCCTGTCGCGCTGCTCCACATTGTTGTTAACCACACGGCAAATGACGGGCTAACAGTGGACACACACACACACAAGGAGCATCAACGACAGGCCAACAACATCGACAGCGAGCCACAGTCTACAGCGTTTCCATCAAAATAATTGGCCAAAAGCAGCGCCGCGATCAATTGTTGTTTGCTTGGCAAAGAGGAGAGAGAAAGAGGGAGAGAAATTGATGCTTGCTTGTCGCTGTGGCACGTATGGGGATGCCCATACCGTTTTTAGTGAGAAAATTAACAATCGATGTGGTAGCGAACAATCGATAACGATAGCCGTTTACAGCTAAAAGCTGGCTCTGACTCCGCTCTTACTCCGCTTATGTGTTCCCTGCTGGCGCTGCAGTTCCCTGAAGTGCACTGCTCTGGTAGGCAAATATGACTGAGAGCGAAAATTATGATAGTCGCAGCTGGAAGATACCTCGTATTTGCAATGACAAGTGCTGCTGGAAGGTGCACGTAGACCCTTTGTTTCCCAGTGTGGCTTAGCAGCAGATAAGTGGTGGGTTATCTACACGATATGAGTGAACCAGCGCTCTCTCGCTCTCTTTCTTTATAAATCCTCACAGCTAGCTCTCTTCCAGTGGGATTAGCTACACATTATCCTACGATCTATTAGGTTTTCCAAAGTATAGACATTATTTTAAGCTTTTTCCTGTCATAAAACCCTCCCTCACACACAATTTGTTTTGCTGTACTCTGCCATTTACGGGGTAGGCTATAAAAGAGTGTTACAGGCCCTGCAGCTTTCGGTGGAGGCCTGTATGAAACGTGCTCGTCAAGCATTTTTACAATTTTCAAAAAAGGTACAAACACACACACACACTCAGACACACAGACACACAGGGAGCATGCAAGTACAAGTCCCTCTGGGGTTATTTATTTGTGTGTGTCGTTCAGATGTTTTGTTTTTTCAGTCACTGTTGTTGTTATTGTTGTTGCATGCAACGTCAACGTCAATGGAGGGGGCATAGTGTACCGGAGTGTAGAGTGCAGTTTTGTGTAAACAATAACGAAACACATTTGTGACGCGTGATTTTGCATAAGTTGGCACACAGACAGACAGAGAGAGGAGTCGGGGCCACAATGCTCCTTTCACTCCACACGGAAAAACCCCATTGAAAGCGACAGACTGAAATTCGATTGAACAAAAGCAGTTTATCCATTCAAAGAAGCCAAAGACGAAACTCTATTAGTCGGCCATTAAACAGCAGATATCATAAATATATATTCAGATATATGTGCATAAATATATTCTGCGATTTAAGTCCACAAAATGAATGAAGACATTTTTATGGCCAATTAAGCGACGGCCACAGAAATCATAAACCAAAAGCCAAAATGAGACACAAAAAAAAGAGCAGCAAAAATCGAATCAATTCCCGACAGCTTAAAAACTCATTATGCAAATTGGTTTTTGGTTTTTGGTTTTGTTTTTTTTGGTTTCTTTTGGGGGGACTGGCAAATCTTTCGTTTGAAATCTGTGTGCAACCTTTGGCGCTCTCTTTAGACCCCACTTAGCCCCACACAAATTGTCGGCCACCCACACGGAACGAGTCGCGAAATTAGCTGCCAAAATAATCTTCGATCTTCAAAGCTGAAGTCTCTGGTGGAGTCTCTCACCTGATCGCGGGCCAATTGGAACCAAGTCTTGATGATCAGCGCCAGTCGGGTATCGTGATAGTTCTTCGTTGTCTTCACACTGATGAAAATGTCATCCAGTTCGGTGATGGGCGGCTGCGGCGTCGCTGTCACCGCTCGCTGTGACAGATCGTGGAGCAGCTCCCCGTTCCGACTGCGACGTGCCAGCTCGGTGAGCAGCGTGGCCGTTGGCCGCTCACTGACCTCAATGTCGCTGAAATTGAAGCTGCGTATGTCCTTGCGTATGATGACGGTGGTGGGTGAGGCAGCGGCGGCAGCTGCAGCCGCCGGCTGTGTGGGCGTAGAGCTGGACGAGTGCAGTGCATAGTCCTGCAGCAGCTGGTCGCGATGTGTGGTCACAGGTTCATTGGCATTTGCATTGGCACTGCCATCCACCTGGCTGTGCGGCAACTGAGGAGACTGAAACGGATAAAAAGAGAGCGTGAGGGGAGGAGGGCAGGTTTAATGTAAATTTGTTGTGTAAATCGCACGTAGAACAATAATAAAAATATATGAAGACAGAACCAGAGACGCAACAGCGGACCCATCAACTCCTCCGCAGGCGTTTGAGGCATTTTCACCTGGCAAACAAAAGGCGAACTTCAATGGCAAACAACAATGGCAAACAAATGAGAGACAGGGACAGGGGCAGGGACAGGGGCAGGGGCTGAGGCAGAACAAACAGAAAGAACAGTGCCACAGCCGAACCCCTCTCATAAATGCTGAGTAAGAGCAAACACACAGAGAGAAAACCCCAAAAACGGGGATCGGAATCGGAATCGGAATCGGCAGAGTTCCCCCTGCACCGAGAGTTCTCCCTGCCTTGTTGCCTGATTAATTTCCACTGATAACAGGTTCATTTGCTTTTGTTGAATGCTCATCGTCGTCGGCGGCTCTTCAATTGCTCTTTCCAGATCTCCTTCGCCGTCTGTTTAATGGCCCCAAGGAAATGGGTACAGGTGGGGAGTGGTGCTGGTGCTTGTGCTTGTGCTTGTGGAACTCTTTGCTTTGAGGCAATTCTGATTGAAGAGTGCTGATAAGTGGCAGCACACTCGTACGATGATGAGACACCTCGACTCAGCATTACCCTAGAAATTGGAGATTTACTTTTACTTCTACATTGAAATTGGTCCCTTTAGATTTCTCCCATTTGAATTTCCGTTGGCTATGCAAATCCGAAGAAAACTTCCATCATAAATTCATTCACAAATTAACGAATGGAAGAAGCTCTCTTTCCCACTCTTTCTTCACTCTTTCCCTCTTTTGTCTTCTGCCCTTTTGGGGAACTACTTCACACGATATTCCAGCATTGATAGCAGACAGCAGACAGAAACAAAAGTTGGTGGCTCTCGCATAGAATTTTATGGCCGCACGATCGACAGACGGATGAACAAAACGGTGTTGCCGTTCCAATATATAATAATAGAGCTCCCCAAATCGACAATCATCGAGTGGGTTTTCAGCGGCAGAAGCTGCTTGGGAGAGAGAGATGTGACACAGGTGTAAACGGCTGATGCTGGGCTGCCGCTGGGAATTGGAAAGCTGAGACGAAGTCGATGATGGGCTGCTGCTGCTGCTGCTGTTGTTTTCGAAGCAATTAAAAAGCTGTAATATTAATTTGGCAACAGAAATCGCAGGCTCCAATAAAGATATTACTGAACGGTAAAGAGACAAGTTGTAAGCGGCAAAAGTCGTGAGCAGAGAGCGACAGTGAGAGCCGAGGACACGCCTCATTCATGTGCACATACATTTATGTACGAGTGTGTATGGTACACTCAAGGTTCATGGATGCATGGATTAGAATGTGTCGCGGCAATGCAGGCAGAATAATATGCAAATCAGCGAGCCAGAGGGAGAACCGCAGCAGCCAGAAAACAACTTTGCGACACTTTTGCTCGAGCAGCGAATTACTGGAACGTGAGGAAACTAACAAGCAACAGATACGGATACAAAGATACTCAGCTACAGCTGCGGAACGTGGGCCCATATATGCTGCACGCCTGCACACAGCAGATACAAGTACAAGTACAATCCAATAGATACAAAAAAGACAAAAAATCAAATCAAAAGGCGAACAAATTTAAAAAACGCTCTCGGGGGTAACCAGTCTGAGCCCCCTACCACGCCCACTCCAGTGACTAATGCTTCATTAGCCAAGTGATTAATATGTTTATAAACATTTCCATGTCAATTAATAACGAGATTGTGGCTGGAGCAGGGGGGCGGCAGAGGTAGAGCTGTGGCCCCAGATGGTAGATAGAGGTGTGTACAAAAGGGCGCCAAATCTGCGCTCTCCACGAGAAGATTAATGAGTAAAGTCTCTTACGATTTTTATATAACGGAAAACATAAATCAGCGAACAAATCAAAAGAATTTCTAAGCCATCCAGCTGGGCGGCAGAGTGAAAGACAAGACACAAAGACAGACAGACAGAGACAGAGACAGGAGAAGAGAAAGAGCGATCAAGCAGCGGGAAAATCTTCATTAAATGCTGTTTAACAATATTATCCGTAAGATACAAATCTAAGATAAGATGCACACAGGCAGGCAGTCGGCTCAATTAAGCGACCACCAAAAGATACTCGACTGCTGCTGCTCGGCCTCAGAAGATACAGATACATTGCGCGCCTTTATCAGGCGCCTACAAGCGCTTGCTGCAGCTTAATGTCGTCAGCTTTTTGGGGGCTCTCACCAGAGCCAGAAGGAGTAGCAGAATGAGGAGATGCTGGAGCTGCTGCTGCTGCTGCTGCTGCAGCTGGTTTTGCCATGGGAAAAGACTGCGCGCGATGCATGGGACTCGTCTCGATTCGACTCGACTCGGGGGGCACCTGCTTTTTGGTGGCAGAAAACAGGAATCTCATGACTGGGCCTCTGTCTTCGCTTGATTTGCATGCACCTCAACTTTGAGTGCCTTCAAGAGGCCCTGACTGCTGTTGTTGTCATTATGTATTTACCAGGGCCACAACGTGCCACGGCTCATACCTCGAATCAATCTCTCTCTCTCTCTCTCTCCCTCTCTCTGTCTCTGTCTCACTCCACCAATTGTGTGCGCCACTTTAAACAAATTCGTTTGACGATTATTATTTGCTTCGTGTATGATTTATGCGTCAGTCACACGCGATTGTAGACGTGACATGGTGGGGGCCCCCACAACACACACACACACACACACACACCTAGTATCAAAAATGATTTGCTTTATCAGCCGAAGCCCAACCCAAAGCCCAAACCCCACGCGACAATTGAGACACAGTTTAGTGGCGTTGTCCAGTTTTTTCGAGGAATCCGAAACGAGTCAACACACAGCAGTATTTTTTTTCTGTACTTATTTCCTTCTTTTATTTTTTGCGCAACGAACAAAATTAAACAAATTGTACGTTGCATGCAGTTTTGTGGTCGCCAGCAGCAGCAACAACAACTACAACAACAATTAATTGGGACAAGTCACAGACCTCTGATGGAGGAGAAGGAGGAGGAGTAGGCGCTCTGGCTCTCTGGCTCTCTGGAAAAAGAACTTCAATTGAAAAGTGCTACAACAGCAGCAACTGGCAGAAGGCAGTTAGTTGTCAACAGTTTTTGAATCCGGTTAAAGCATTTAGTAGTACTCCTCAGAATATGTACGCATATGTAGCACTGGTCATTTGTGTCTGGTTTCCGGTTAGCCCACACCACACCACTCCACACCACACACCAAAACAATAACTTTGTACATGGTACAACAACAACTACAAGCAGCTGTAAGATGCCGCACAACAGCCAACAACGTTGTCCAAATTAAAACAACATAAACATAAAGTTTTTAATTATACTAGAGGCCGAATTACAGCGGAGGAGAGCAGAGAGGTACCAGAGTTTGCCAGTTTGCCAGCCGCAGAGTGTCGACCGCACGGGCAAAGATGAGCCAAAAGTTTGGCAATTGAGTTGCAAATTGGTGAGGAAGGGGTGGGCAGGGGCCGGGGAGAGTGTCAAGTGCAGGCCACAGAACAGGGGCTGTAAATTACATGTATGGATATTTTTCAGCCAGAATGGCTTCCATCATAATTGGAATTATGCATGTTTACTTATATGAGGCATCAATGTGTTGGATGTTTGCAAAGTAGGGGAATGCTGCTCATGAGGCAGTTGATAGACTGACTAATACGGAAAATATTACTCATTGAGAGGGGGACGGGCGTTAAGGTTCTTCAGAACTGATCCAAATGTTGTTTAAATATATCCTGATCTAAAAATCATTTACAAATCTTTAAAGCTATCAAAAATGATCAAATATTCGACAAATAATATCAAAAATGAACACCTTTGGGATGAACATTTTTCCATTGAATGGTTTTAAATTGTCTGTCTATGAAATTAGTTTAGAATTGAATTAAATATGGATTTAAGGGAATTTTTAAGTAACGAAAATCCGAATTCCTCACTGATCCAACACGCTATTAATTTCAAGATGCTAACATAAAATCTGACAGCTGTTTTTCTATTTTAAAAGTTCTTTAAAGAAGACATTGAAAAGGGCTCTCCATCACTCTCCCAGTGGCATTCCTCTACCATAATTTTAGCACTTCCCAAAATTACAAAAAAAAAAAAGGTTGACTATTTGTGGATGCAACAAGAGTCTCGCGCTGTAAGGCAATTCCCACGTGCCTCTGCTATTCGTTATCTGTGGATATGGCTGAAGCGACTCTTCCTACGACTACGACTTCTCCTTCCTCTTTGCTGCACTCCTTCCTGCCTGCTGGCCAGTGGCTGGGGTAATATTAGCACACAATATTTTATTACACAAAAATTTATGCAAAAGCGGCACAAAAAATCAAGAACAACAATAATAAATGGTGGACAGAGGCAGGGACAGGGACAGACGGACAGATGGACAGGCCTGTGCCTCAGAACCTGACAGAACGCAACGGAACGGGTGGGGAGGAAGGGAGGATATCTGAAAGCTTTGGCGACGCTCTGCCGACGGCATCTGAGCAAAAGAAACAAAAAACAAAACCGAAACTGTTTTATATGCAAGGCAAAAGAAGTCCAAAGAGGGGCAGAAAGAGACTCCGAGCTACAGCTCCAAGCTCCAAGCTCCAACTCCATTTCCAGCTCTGAAGACGCAGGCACAAGGGCGTAAAAAGGTTTTAACGGCCGGAGCCGGACGTCAGACCTGTGGGACGCATGCGCGCAGCTGCAAAAAGTCGCCGGGGCGTTGATTTATGAAAGTGCACGATCGGCAGGGAGGCAGTGGAGAGCTCGGGTAGGAATCATGCAAATTTTTAGAGTGCAAATATCTCTCTCGCTATGCGTATGACAAATGCCAAAGAGCAGCAGCGCCCACGCACATGCGCAGAGGCAGTCCTCTATGGGAGGGGGGGGATGGGGGGATTCTTGATCTTCACTCACTTGGATGCCCGGATATCCGTAGGCGCTCTGGTAGAGCATAAGCGTCATATAGACGACGGCAACGGCGAGTGACATGACTTGCAGGAGGCGTTTAAAACGTTGCGGCAGCGAGAGCACAGTCAGGCTCATCATATGTCGAACACACCGCACTACGCGAACATCGGATTCGATCTCTGTCGAACGTGGCGAGGCGACAGTACTTGTTGTCAATCACCAATCACTACTGTCTCTCAATCTCTCTCTCCCTCAATATCAGTGCACTGTGTACGGGAAATACTCGCAAATATTTTGCTGTGGCTTTTTTATAGCTTTAACTTTTTTGTGTTGGCGCGCGCGTGGTACGTCTTGCTTGTTGCAAGTTTGGGGCGACACTGACGAGACTTGCGGCGTTCCAGCGAAAATCGTAAACAAAACAGAAACCAGAAAGACCAGAAAACAAAGCAGAGAGCAGCAGCAGCAGCAGCAGCAGCGGCAGCAGAGAGCGAACCACTCACGCTCTCAGTGCTCCAATTGGAAGAGAGAGAGAGCGGCAGCAGCTGCAGCTGTTGCAACTGCAGTTTTCCAATCGGAGCAAATCGGAGCTCTCTCTGGCTCTGTGCGCTCTCTCTCTCTCGTGTGCGCCTGCGCTCGTTCTTGATCGTTTTCCTATGCGCTCTCTTCCGCTCTCTCTCTCTCTTTCGGCTGATCGTACGGCGATCGTTGACTGGTTGGTTCCGCCTCGGCATGTGCCACAGTAGCTGCCGAAGGCGATCGCCTCTACTCCCCAAGCCTCCACGGTGCAACTCGTGGGCGTCCGTTTGGCCGTTCTGGACCAACCTTTGAAGGTCTCTCTCTCTCTCTCTCTCTTTTAGTCGCTGTCTCGGTCCTGTCTCTGGGCCCTTGGCGGCGTGTCCTTATACAATCTGTTTGCCATTCCTTACCCAAGTTGGCAGGGCTTCCCAATCGGGAGGCCAACTCCTCTTCCAGGCATCTTGGCTGCTCCGCTCCTCCGTTGCGACGACAATTCCATTAAAAGTTGTACGTTGTCACTTTGCGTTAACTTATCTGTGGAGCATGTTGTGCGATCGCATTTTTATTGTCGCCATTGTCTCGACCTCTGCTGCTGCCGCTGCCGCTGCCTCTGCCTCGTCCTCTCTCTCTGCCCACACATTCGAGCCTCACGTGCTTCACCGTAACTCCTGCTCCTCCCGTTTGCCTTTTTTGTCGCATGGATTTTTGCGGCACTTGGTCTTTTCCTCACTTGACAATGCTTTGCATGCTCCTCTTTGCCCCCTGCCGCCTGCCTCTTGTGTCTGGTTCTCTCGCTTGTCATATTCCATGTTTGTGGCAGCGACAAAAGCTCTTGCGGCTCTGGCTCAGCTGACGTTGGCTTCGCTGCTCGCACAATCAGCCACTCGGCATCTTGTTCGCCGTCCCTTTGTGCGCCTTTCGCCTGAATTGCATTAACCAGAGAATCAGCAGAGGCAGGACCATACCCCAAACCCCAAAAGCAACCTTGTTCTGCCACAGAAAAAGACATCGGTCGACTCGGTTCCAACTTCTCCTGCTCCTGCTCCTGCTCCTCCTCCTGCTGCTGCTGCTGCTTGCTCCTCATTGCTCATTTTTAATGTGCAATTTTGTATGTACAGCTCGTAGCCAGGGAAGGTATCACAGTGTGTGTTTGCATAGCTCTGTGCTGCATGTTAGGCATGTGCCGCGGTCCAGGCCTAGGCAGCAGCTCCGTTTATCGGCCGACCTAACCTTGTTAGGATTGTAAAATGTAAACCGAAGGCGTTGACTTGGCACTGCCCGAAAAACTTGGAGAACAAACGCTGAGCAAAGTGATCTTTCGATCTTTAGATACTCTCCTGAAAGCACTCAACTATTTCTCTGTGTGTAGAGCAGCTCTAGCTCTAGTGGCACACGCTCAAGTTGCCTCCGTCCTCGTTCATTGTTAATCGAAAAACGGGGCCCCAGCACAGTCGCCCTGCGGTTAGGAGTGTCGCCAGGCCAAAGCGAACCAAAGAGCGCTATGAAGAATGAAGGAACAAGGGGTACCGGCCGACATGAAGCATAAACATTTGCTGAATCGTTCCGTGGATCGTGGAAGGTGGAGCTACAACTCTGGCCAACAACTATGCGCGTGCGCAGCCGCCAAGCTGGCAATGTGTTCATTTTCAGAGTCCCCACTTTGGGGTCCATATTTTCGTTTTGGTTTGGCTTAAAAATTATGCCCGGTAGTCATGCCAGAGCAGGGTAGGGCTGGGCAGGCAGGGGTCTTGGGTAGAGCGAAATTAAAGCGAGCATTTGACTGACGGACTGACGCAGTGCCAGGAACTGGCAGAAGAAACCCGAAGTGAGTGACTAGTTGACTGGCCAGACACACGGCTTGATTGCACGCCTTGTCCACAGTCAGAGCAACAGTCAGAGCCACACAGCCACATTGACGTTCACGTCCACGGAAATGAGAACAGGAATGAGGCTGGAAGAGACTGGGGAATGGGAATGGGTTGAGTTTGGTATTGGGATTGGGATTGAACGCAAATCAGAGACACCGACCGACACCCAACCGAGACGCAGCGGTTGCCTCATACGTCAAGGCAGGAGGCATTGAGTTGAGTGGAATCTGTGCATGCATAGAGCCCCACATGTACCCCCCGACATACACAATTCGCATTCGATTTTGATGCGTATTGATGGCTGCCCGGCCAGCATGTCTGACGCTAAGCACTCAAAGATTAATGGCTACGAATTAGTCAGTGTCACTTATTGGAACGTTGAGCTGAAGCGAACGCTCTGTCTCTTTCCCTGAATGCTGCATGCTGCATGTAGGGGGACCCGGGCTTGAGCTTACCTTTTACCCTTTAGTCCCAACTTCCCGACTGTAGTCAAAATAAAAGGCAATTACAAGTCAACACAATGAGTTTGTACAATTGAAAGGTACATACAAGATTGTCGATGGAAAGAGCCGCATGAAAATTAATTTCAACATTGTGTTTACGATATCATCGATCAATAACTGTCAACACAGCGACACAGTTCGATTTTTGTCTGCGTTACACTGTCCCAAAAGATGGGTACATCAGCTGAAAGAGAATTTATTTTAAACTAAAAAATATCTAAAATAAAATTGAAATCTTTAAGTAAAAGTGCGCTCTGGAGCTCATAATTTTGCCTGTCGAATTGTTGCACTAAAATCCACAATTAAAATAAACCCAAAGAGAATTAAAAGGAATCGTAAGGGAGGAGAAAGAGCATTGCCAAAATCGTTTTAAGTCTCGTCTTTGACTCTCTTTTTATCTGCTGCACCCCAAATGTAATACAACAAATTTTGCTTGTCTTTTTATTTCTTTACAGATTCTTGGTGAGTTTCTTTGGATTTAAGATTGCGGGTCACACTGTGGGGGAGAATTGGTAGACTGAGGGAGACCACCTGGCGTCTGGCGGACCAAGCTAATTGCATTGAAGGGCCACAAAGGAAAGTTTGCCAGGTGATGATATCAGCATGATCAAGCACTTACTTGCCTACACTATACAATAAGTAAGTACAAATGATGGTAGCCCCCCGCTTTTAGAGCAGAGCAGAGAGGTGTACCCTGCCCACGGCAGGCGGGCAATGAATAGTTTGAAAAGTTTACAATTTGTTGATTCAACGCGGCATGAAATCGGTTTTGAAACTTTGTTTGAACTTTAATTAACCGATTTACCGGGCAGAGGGTTACAAAAAGAGAAAGAATCATAGAAATAAGTTAAATTACATTTAAGCTGATTAAAGTTCAGCGCAAAAAAAAAGTAAGAAAACCAACAACGATTCGATTTTTCTCGTTTTGGCTGAGGGAATGAGGGCTAATGTCGATCGAATGTTGGACTGACGGCACACAGAAAGTTCATTAAGGCACTGGCACCGAAAGGGAGAAGACAGTTAATACATTGAGCAAGGCTATAAAACTCGAACTCGTTTCCCGTGAGGCAGCGATAGAGGGCAGCGGACAACGGGCAGCGGACAGTGGCGGACAGCCAGCAGCGGCGCGCTACGCATACTTTTGTGATGATTTTTCCCAAAAACCTAATTTTCAATTTACCAAAACAATTAACAACAATTTTATTGGCTTTTAAGCCATGCAAACAACACACACACTCGAGATGCTGCACGGAAGGGGGAAGCATCATAAAAATCTACAAGTGTAGCTCTCACACACACACGGACAGTGTGCCGCTATTGATCAAGTGTTTGTTCAAGGCAAACATTTGCCAGAGAGAAGTCGAGCGCATTCTATAGAAAATTCCCCAATATGCTCTGCTCCCTCCTCCCTCCTCCCTCCAGCCTGTGTATCTTTTAATTAACAATTCCGAAATGGTAACCATAAAAGTGTTGTAACCGGAATCCACTCTACCTATTTGATTTGTTTGATTGGCAAAAACTCTCAGCTCCAGTTCGAGTTCCACTCCAGTCCGATCTGCCATCATCATCTCTTTGTTGGATTGCTAAAGTAGGTGCCAGTGTGCATGTTATTTTGCATGTTGGCCCCAATATTTGCACCTCCTGCTGTCCTGCTGCCTATCCTGGAGCTACTCCAGACTGGCGTTCACCACGTGAGTCGAGCCAAGCCAAGCCGCTCCAAGGCAGGAGTAGACTCTCTGCCAGTCTCCACAATGTGCCATAAATTTATGACACTACTAAAAATAGTAGTGGTAAATGGCAGTCAGGGAGCCGCCGTGTGGTTGCTGCTGCTGTAAGCGACTCTCCTCCAAGTGTATCTTTGTATCTGTTTGCTTCTGCCTCTTGCCCATGTTGTTATGGGTCGGCTGTTACATTATGTTTTGCCTTTGTTTCTGTTGCGCATTACACGCGAATGAGAATTATAGGCAAGTAAAAATGCCATTTAAAAGCAAATAAATTAACTTAATGCGAATCCGCTCCACATGAAGGGACTAGGTTTCTGTAGTCTGGCAGCAAACTGTCATTTCGGATATATATTTATGTTGGACAATGCGTAGGCCTCTCTGCCGCAGAAAAATGCTTCCTTTTTTGTAGCTGCCTAAACCTCACCCACGATATCTGCGACTGCCGCTGCTCTATCATTAGTTGAACCGTTAAGCAGAGCTTGGGCAGCTCTACCTGTCTGCCCCAAAAAATTGAACTTGCGTGCCACAAACTAGCGTCTGGCTGCAAAAGGCTTTCGAACCGATCCCGGCGATGATAAATGCAGCATTTGCGATGCGCAAAAGGAAGCTATAAATAACAATTAATTGTATTATTAAACTAATTCAGCACAAACCCAGGTACAGCTCCAAGTCCAACTCCATCTTCTGGTTCCCTGTGCAGGTCAGACGAAAGGCCGTCAGTCATGCGATGGCCTGCCTGCTAATTTACATTTTGATGGCAGACAGGCCAAAAGTAAAAGTACCAAACGAGCGTCCAAAGTCGTTTCTAAAATTGTGCCCCAAGGGCCAAGCCAGCCCAGACCCGCACAACTTGCAATATTTCAGGTCTTCCAATCAATTATGGAATCAGTCAATGATCAGCAAGGAGCTGCCGCCATGCACGCAACGGCCACGGCAACGGGCCCCGAAGCAGAAGGGCGCGAAAGTTGCAGAAAGATGCAAATAATGACAACAATTAACGCCCCAAAATGTTGTCCTCTGTGGCATTGCGTGCTGAGAAAGGGAACGGGAACGGGAACGGGAACTAAAAGGCAGCAGCAGCAGTAGTTGTCCCATCATTAAGGCCAACACGAATAGAAAGTAAACGAAGCCTCGAGCGTGTCACCGTCTTAATTAACGGCAAAAGATGCAGATGCCTGCGGTATATGTATTGGTTTATGCTTGATCAAGTCTACTTCTTCATCAGCGCTTTCATTGTCTTCTCAATAAAGGGACGCACAAAGCCCACATCTGTGTAGACACCGGGATACTTGGGACTGGCGCAGCTAATGCCAAATGAGACAATGCCGCAGACTTGCTTCTTGTAGACCAAAGGACCGCCCGAATCGAAGGTGCAGGCATCCTTTTTGCCCAAAGCACCCGCACAAAACATGCTGTTTGTTAGATTAACTGCAAAGCAAATCCATTCTCAATTAGAAATAGAAACAGAAATGATTGAAAACGCACCTGTTGAACTGTAGGTTTCCAGGCAACGCTTTCTGCTTACCACCGGCACATCGACCTTTCGCAGCAAAGTCTGATGTGACGTGTCCTTGGGATTGACTAGACCCCAACCCGAGACGGTTAGCATTAGGCCCATCGAGAGCTTTGTCGAGCAGAGCTTCAACGTTTGTATATTCTTGCCCCAAATGGGGCGGGACAGGCGCGCCAGGGACACATCCATGTTCATGTCCGACTCACGGAAACTGCTGGGCGTAATGAACTCATCCATCAAGACGCGCTGGCCGTGCTCCGAGAGTGCCGTGATGCCCGCCTGCACCTCCCACCTCTGCACAACTTCACGTCCCAGAAAGCAGTGGGCAGCGGTGAGGACTATGCGACTGGCGAGCAGACTGCCACCGCAAATGAAGTCGTTGCGGTAACGCAGGGCCACCAGATAGCCACCGAGCTTCTCGATGGTCGTATACTCGCCACCAATGACGCGCGAGTGCCGCGCGAGTGCGGGAAAGATCAGCTTATTCAGCACATCCCCATCGATGGTTTTGTTATCCTGCGCCTGGACAACAACAACCAGAGCAGCCAGCAGCAAGAGGAAGCGTTGCATTGCACAGCTGAAAGGGAAATCGTTGGCTAAAATGAGCGTAGAGCTAGGAGGAAGCCAGATGCTCACAGCAGCCGTATCCAAGCGGGTTAAGTGTGACAAATTCCAGCTGCTGTTGCATGTCAATTGAGTTTAATTGTTGTTAATTAAAAAGTTTATGCATTTTTTGTTAATTTGTTCAGTTGGGGGGCTCCTAACCGAAGCTCAGGGGTCGTATCTCCTGCATCAGCTTGCGTATGTAGTACATCAGTTTGGCATCTCGATTGCGCAGCTCTGTGGCATGTGGATACATGGAGTTGATGAGCTGATGCAAGTCGGCATAGTGCTGCAAGGAAAAAGGTGAATCAAAGTTCTTTAAGAGCAATTCTGGCAGGCCTCACCCCAACATTCCGCCAAGTCTGCTGATAGTCGAGTCTAAACACATTCAAATCATCCGAGCACAGCTCTTTGATCTCCACAAAGGTGGCACTTTCGGGCGTTACTCTGGCTGTTATATCTGCGCCCTCCGCCATATCCTTTGGGTTGCGCAGGCCCAGCACAATGTCCCTGCGTGTGGCCAAACGATTCCAGTCGGAGCGCGTGAACTTCATCAGTTTGCAGTGCACGGACACGGCATTGTACACATGCATCTCGGCAGCCAAGTGCTTCTGCGAGAAGTAGCCATTCTCTATGTAAAAACAGGCATCGGGCTCTGCGAATATATTTATGTTCATGTCTTGAAAGCGCTAGCAAATGTGGTAGAGACTTTTAGTAAACATTGCTTAGGCATCAGTCGTTGGATTACCTTTCGCAGCTCAACAAAATCACTGATGGGCTGCTCAATGTTGAGAAACTTCTCTGGCCTGGCCTGATACTCCTTGGGCAGATCGATGACATAGCCACGAACGCCCTCATTGCTGATGTGCAGCACCACGCGCACGTAGTAGGTGTCCAGCGTGAAGATCACCTCATCGTGCCTGCAAAAAGGAAGGTACAAATATGGGAATTCCCTGAGGAACTGTCATACTTCTCCTCATTTGGCTCCAAACACCAGTGGCGAAAGGGAAAGTGCGCATAGCGATTGTAGGCAAAGCAAAACACACCCAAACGATCCGTCTTGATGGTTATTGTTCTCTTAGTTCCATCAAATTTTGAGTGCAAAATGTGATTGGTGGTCCAGTGGAGCACTTTGCGGCGTGCCACAGGCTCTGGGGGTTTTGGTGCTGGGGAAATATCCTTGGAGGCCACCAAGCTGTCGGCTTTGCGCGACTTTCTCAGCGTTTCTGTTTTTCTTATAACTGAAACCTCATCGTCGTTGGTTTCAGATTCGTCCTCCTTGAGGAAAGATTGACTGTAGGCCAGCGATTGCTTATTCTGCATTGTGGACTTGCTTCTCCGCGATGAGAGGCGTTCCTTGTGGGTGCGACGTGTCAGCTTAATCTCCGGAATGGTACGCTTGAAGCTGCTTGTGTACTTGCCCTGAATTTCGTCCAGTGTGGCCAACACACCGTAAAGCGAAGGCTCCTTCAGGGCAGTTATCTGCCGCGTCACGAAATGTTTTAGAGACTTTCCCACATCCTCTATCTGCTCTGCTGTGACTCTGTCGGGTGCCTCGTAGCAGAACGGCTCTGGGTCGTCAAAATGCGGATAGACACGCTCCGGACCGTATTGATCCTCGTAGTTGAACAACGGATAAGGCTGCTTCTCATCGAGTGCTCCCAGCTGATCGGTTTCAATGTGTCGTCGCAGCAGCTTGTTGCCAGCTGCCTTTTTGATTTCCAATGCCGTGTCCCGCTCCTCCTTGAATTCTAGTGGAAACTTGAAGGAGGATATAATGCGTGGCACACACTGCTGTCGTATCAAGTGTAACTCCAATTTGTTTAGGCTCTTCCCGGACATTTCAAAGTTATCTGTGGCTATCTGGAGACTTGCAATGCTGCTGGACCGCTGCTCAAAGGCGCTGCGGCGCAGCCACTCGAAATGCGAGGGGCGGTAAATGTTATTAGATTCGTGGTGTTGCCGCGTGATGCACGTCGGGTTGGGCCGCCGATAAGCCACAGGGAGAGTTTCTATAGGGTTGCCGGCCTTATCGAACTTCTGTACCACACTTGTCGCCCGTCCATTGGCCATGCTCAAATTTTGATGCTGCCTATTTCCCTTTTGTTTCTTCTTGCCCCTCAGCTCTGACTCGGGCTCGTATATCAATTCCTCTTCGGGTTCCTCCACTTCCTCTTCGATGAAGAGGCAAACTTTGGGCTGTCCCCAGCGACACAGATGTTTGGGCAGCTTGAAGGTGAGAAAGAAATACGGCAGCTCGTGCCTGTCCAAGTACAGCAACGTTCCATCGTTGGTTGTTTCCGCAGCGGAGAGACGCTGCATTTCGTGGCGACTGGGCGCAACACTCAGCCGGGGTGGCGCCTCCCGCATGGTGCCACGACGAGAACTGGAGCTAAGCAAACCCAACTCGCAGTCCTCATCCACGAGCTTGTCCTGCTCCACGTACAGCACGCGTCCATCCTCGTGGAGTGTAATGTTCAGCTTCTCGTAGGCCGTGTGTTTGGGTTTGCGCACAAAATCCACAGCGAAGATGCCGCCAATGAGGATAAAGCGACGCAGGTTGATCTGAAAGAAAAGTTTAATGAGGGGAGAATGAGGGGTAACAGATACTGCCACGCACCTCCCCTGGTATCGCTGGATTATTGGCTGGATTGTACGCTTCATCCAGGAACTTGATGTACTCCTCGTGTTCGCTTTCGAGAAAAATGTTGTATGGATCGGGAAACATGCCCTCCGGCAGACTTTGCGGCTCCTTTGGCGCCTTCATTGCTTTCGCTTGGGTTTGCTCCTTTTTCTGTTCACTTGTCTTGGATCTACGCAGTGTCTGATTGGCTTCGATGGGGCTGCCAAGTAGATGCCACAGGTTAGATTTAAGCTTTGCTTTCGCTTTGCCTAAACTCACTCCATAACATTCACATATTGCTGCATTTTGGACTCCATTTTGGTGATAATCTCCTCCTGTATGTCCACCTGTGTGAGCCATTCATCGATGATGCAATCATCTATGTCTAGGAGGCCACAATGTGGCATCGTTTCGCTGTCAATCACAATCTCAAAGCTCTTGGCACGCTCCGAGTAGGCATCAAAGTGGGTGTGGACACACCTGACGCACATATTGTCAGAGAGCACGCTGAAGGGCAGTTGAATGTTGAGTCCCACACAGTCCAAATTGGCAGACATCAAAGGGAGGCTGGGGAAGATTCTTTAGATGGGTTTCTTTTGCCAGTTTTGTGCCCGAAAGCTTACTCCAAAAACTGAAAGCGAATGGGCACGTCTCGCAGGCACCACAGCTGATAATTGTAATTGCTGCTCTCATAGCAATAGCTGGCCAAGTGGCAACCCAAATTGCTATGAATAGAAACACATTGATTAAGAGAGAATATATTTATAGTTTAACCAATCAAATCTCACGTCATAAAGGCTTCCGGTGCGGTTATAATGCGATAAGTAAGCTTGTCCAGAAATGAACCAATTTCAGCAAGAAGTTCGTGCTGGATCTGTAAGGGAAGGAACGTTAAAGAAACAAATATACAAAGGGAAGTATCTGTACCTTGCCCAATTCGATTAATCGTGCTGGCGTTAGAAATGCCAGCTCCAGTTCGCTGCGCTGCACACGATCAATCCGCTTGATGGTCGCCAAAATGCGCTCAATATTCACATCGTACAACTTGCCTATGTCCGGTCGCAGTTCCTGTTCCATTTTCTTGCGCGTGCGATCCTTCTGAAAGATGTCCTGCGTGAGTATGCTGCGCTCATTCACCGACAGCGTCCAATTGACAAGATTTTGCTCGGCCTGCGCCTCCTCGCAGCGCATTTGAAAGACAAAGCGGCGGATTTCATCGGGCCAATGGGGTCGCGGCAGGCCATCACAGGCCAAAAAGCGTGCCCAATGTTCGTCTTTTAGCTGCTGCCGCAGCAGCTCATTGTAGTCCTCAACGGAGTCTGCAAAGGCAAACGGAACTGTTCCAAAAAGAGCAACAATTAGGATCACATTTACCGTGTATAAAGCCAATGCATATTTTGACATCCTGCAAACGCTGCACGTAGGAGTGCTCCCGTGCCAGCCACTCCTCCTCGGAGATGAGCTCAGCCGTGGGCAATTCATCCTTTGGCCTGCTGCCACTTGAGGATCTTGATCTTCTTGGGCCACGCTTAGCCATGGCTTTGCCCCCGTGTTTTATTTTGTTTTATTTGTATTTATTTTTTGTATTAGTTTTCTGTGTCTTGTACCCCGTGTCGTTTGTGTTGTGATTTAATCAACTGACAAACATTTTTCTACAAATAAATTCTCTTTTATTTTTGTGTGTGTGTGTTCAGGCACACTTTGTGCTATAACTAACCAAGCTAATACCTTCATTTAACGTACCTCAAACTAGGAATAACTCAAGACACGAATCTCACCCAACAAGCGACGTATGTAGTAGAGCAGCAGCGTATCCTTATTGCACATATCCAAAGCATTGGGATACATCGAACAAATAGCCTGATGCAAGTCCGTAAAGTGCTGTAAAACAGGAACAGGAATTAATCTACATTTATGGGTATAAGTGGAGGCACTTACGTGCACATTCCTCCAGGTATTTTCATACTCCAATCTAATAACATTTATATTATCCGAACAGAGCTCTGAAATCTTTACAAATGTCGCACTGTCTGGGGTGAGGCGCATCGTTACTTCCGAGAGTTCGGACTGATCCTTGGCAGTCTTCATGCCCACAATTATGTCGCGTCTACTGGCCAATCGATTCCAGTTGGAACGATAGAATTTCATTAGTTTACAGTGCAGAGCCATCACATCGTAGATGTGCTGCTCGGCGGCCACATGCTTGATGCAAAAGTAATCCTTTTCAATGTAGAAACTGGCATCGTTCTCCGCAAATATATTTATATTTTTCTCCACAAAAAGCTGCCAAAAAAGGGAACCATGAATAGGTAATAAGATAAAGCTTTGCTGTGCCTTACCTTGCGCAAATCGCGCATATCGG